AGAACTAGGCTGCATGAGTGGGAATTAGATGAAGGACTTCTGTACAACTTTTGCTTCTGTAACATCTTTGTTGTTTATTTTACATTTAAGAAAAATGTGCACATGTGCTCCTGTGTGAACAACCTGGTGTCGTGGTGTACATGTGGAGGTCGGAGAATAACCCGAGGGAGTTGATTATCTTCTTCTACGTGTTGGTCTGGAAGATCAACCTCAGGTGATCAGCAAGTACCTTTACCTGCTGGGTTACCTCACCAGCCTGAGGAAGCCTTTAGGAAAGACCGGAAAAGGCTGGAGAGGCCATGCAACAGTTAAGAGCATTTGCTGCTCTTGCAGAGGACCTGGGATTAGTTGCCAACACCCCATACGGCAACTTACAACCTCTAGAATTCCAGTTGCAGATGTTCAAGGCTCTCTCCTGGGCTCCTTGGGTACCAGACACATGCAGGGCACACATCCATGTAATATTTATTTCATTAAATTATCGGATATTGATACCAATAAAGACATGAGAGGTGGGAACTGAGGTAAGGGCCTACTGAGGTAACTTTATTTTCCTAACTGTATACAAAATATCTATTTACAAGCCTGATTCTACAACTAAACTATCAGCTCTTTAGAAATCTCTATCAGTGTCCTTGTACTGAGCTAGTCCACACTTCTCTAGAGCTCCTTCAAAGCCAAGAGGGCTCCCAGCTCTCTTTCCTAGAATATTATTCTACTTGTGCCCTGCCAGCTGTTTCTCTGTTGCTCCAAGTCTAAAGAGGAAAAGCTCTATCTCTTCCAAGGGGCTCCCTCCAGAAAGTTCTTCCAAGCCAAAAGACAGCTCTCAAAAGTCCAATTGTCATAAGTCAAGTCTCTGTCTCCTACCCTACACAGCTTGTCAGGCTGAACCATACCACTGTAATGGTGGGTGGCGGGGACTCCAAGCCAAGTCAGAAGGGGCAGAACCATTTCACCTTTAAGGTGGGTCAGCTAGAGGCCATCCAGCTGACTTTGCCTTGGGTCATAGGGCAAAGACCGCAAGCCCCATCCCAAGCCATTTGCCTTAACATAGGCAGGAGCTTTCCTTTCTTTAGCTTTAACTAAGGAAGCTTTCAGACTGCATCTCCATGGGACACACCTAACTGCATCTGACAAACACATTATCTTTCTAAGCTTGTATATTTTGCAACTAAGTTTTCTATGTATAATCATCAAATATCTTTTAACATACATATATGCAGGATATATATATATATATATATATATATATATATATGCAAATTAATATTTAAATCCAGGAAAACACCTGACAACAAATTCTGAAGGAAGTGACTGAAAGAATAAAGGGATAGCTTAAATTAAAGAAGTAGTCAGCCGGGCAGTGGTGGCGCACGCCTTTAATCCCAGCACTTGGGAGGCAGAGGCAGGCAGATTTCTGAGTTTGAGGCCAGCCTGGTCTACAGAGTGACCAGGACAGCCAGGGCTACACAGAGAAACCCTGTCTCGAAAAACCAAAAAAAAAAAAAAAAAAAAAAGAAGAAGTAGTCAGATAGCGTATATTGTTTTATACTTTTTTATTTCATATATTGCCTTACAAGTAGATGTTCATTTACTTACAACTATCGTTTGGATCCGCAGTTTTACTTTTTAGGATGCTACTGGAATTCCAATCTTGCTATAGCTTTTTCTTATTAGGTAGACTCAAAGGTATGGGAAGGGGGAGGAATAAAACAGAGATAAGGAGTGATTGAAGTGGGGGGGGGCCCTCAGTCTGCTTTACCTCGAAAGGCTTCCGGAGTGAGTGAGACTTGATTTGAGAATCATCTAGAATTAGGCAATAGAAGAGAGGACTATTGTCAGGCTTATATGAAGAGAAAAATAAATCAGTAATTTAAAAGCGTTTTGGGATCTCTCATTTTGTATACTATGTAAAAATGACTCTCCCTTTCATGTATGCTGGGCCTCCTGCAATGTTTACTGTGAACTCGCCACTATTTTCAGATTCTTCCTGTATTTATCCATTTAATTCTCTCTCTCTTTTTTTTAAAGATTTATTTATTTTATGTATGTAAGTACACTGTAGCTGCCTTCAGACACACCAGATCCCATTACAAATGGTTGTGAGCCACCATGTGGTTGCTGGGAATTGAACTCAGGACCTCTGGAAGAGCAGTCAGTGCTCTTAACCACTGAGCCATCTCTCCAAGTCCCAAGTTTAGGTTTCTTTAAGGCCTAAACTTAGCATAAACTGACGTATTGCTTAATTTTTCATAAAAATTATAAGAGATCTTACACAGTTGTGGCTTATACTTTATACCATGTAAATGCAAAAAAAAAAAAAAGTTTACTTTTTTTTTTTTTTTGAGACAGGGTTTCTCTGTGTAGTCCTGGCTGTCCTGGAACTCACTCTGTAGACCAGGCTGGCCTCGAACTCAGAAATCCACCTGCCTCTGCCTCCCAAGTGCTGGGATTAAAGTCGTGTACCACCACTGCCCAGCAGCTTTACATTTTTAGAACTGGCTAAATCTTGATTTAATGTTTGGGCCTAGAAATTTTTTTTCCCCCTTTAAGTTGTGTATGAATGTTTTGCCAGCATGTATGTCTGCACCATGTATATGGTGGTTGCCTTCAGAGGTTAGAAGAAGACATCAGATCTTCTGGGACTAGAATTATAGATAGTGGTAAACTGCTCTTAATCACTGAGCCATCTCTCCAGCTCCTACCCATTTAATTCTTAAATAATGCTATGAGATCTGCCTCACTTCTTAGGTGGAGAAATTGTTGCAGGTCACAGAAGTGGAACTTGAAGCCAGGCATTCAGACTTCAGAATCCTCAGCGGTACCCAAGATGACTGTGTCTTGCTTTTGGATGAAAGGGAATTACTAGTGAATGAGAGGCAGGGCCAGGCACATCAGGAGTTCAAGGTCATCTTTGGCTATAGTAGAACTTCAGCAAATAAATTCTATAACGGTTCTTAGACTTCTTTATACAGTAAACTTAACAAAAATACTGTGGTCTCATTTTGTAGCTCTGGCCTGGAACTCATGTAAGATCAGGCTGACCCTGAACTCACAGAGATCCATCTGCTTTGGCCTCCTGAGTGCTGGGACGAAAACCTGCTATGGTGGCATTTAACTATGACAGATGAATATAGTTATGTCTGATTTTATTACTTAAAGCATAATCTTTTGGCTTTTCTTTCTTTTCTTCTTCTTCTTTTTTTTTTTTTTTTTTGGTTTTTCGAGACAATCTTTTGGCTTTTCAACAACGACTACAGCCATGCTATAACTGGCTGACTTCAGCTTTTTCTCCCACGATGGCGTCCTATGGTTGGTAGGGCCGGTGTTTCTGGCACCTGAGCCGAGCAGCAGTGTGCCCCCCGGAGCTGCCACTTTAAATAACTCCTTCAACAAATCCCTTAAACTTTTTTTTCTTTTAATTATCTTGTGTGGGTGTTGGAGAGATCGCTCGGTAGTTACTCTTACAAGGGACTCAGAACCTGCAGATGGTTTGCACGTCTTGTAATTCCAGTTCTGAGGGATCAATCTGATGCCTTTTGCTGACCTTTACCAGCGTCAGGTCCCTACACGGACCCACAGACACATACATGCAGGCAAACGTTTAACATAAAACTAAACGAGCGCGTTTTAAAATGAAGTTTAATATTTTGTGTGTAAGTGTGGGAATATGGGTAGCATGTCACATGTGTGAAGGTCAAAGAACAAGTAATGGAAGTCCGTTGTCTTCGGTCCTCAGGTTTGGCAGCAAACGCTTCTACCTGTTGAGCCATCTCTCCGGCCACTACTGGGTTTTGAAAGTTAGTGATCCAAGATAAACAGTTAAGATTTCCAGCTTTAAAGAATATGGAATATGGAAATTGTCTAGGTGGTGATGGCAGCACAGGGCTTTAATCTCGACATTCCAGAGCCAGAAGCAGAGGCAGGCAGAGTTTGAGGCCAGCCTGTTCTACAAATCTGGTTCCAGGACAGCCAGGGATACACAGAGAAACCTTGTGTCAAACAACAAAATAAAACCACACAAACAAGGATGTATCTTATAGCTACTATCTGTATGCTACTTCAACGTTGAAGACTTTACGGAAATATTCAGGACTGACTGACGAGTGCTAATTTAGTACTGAGTCACAAGAACGGTTTCATTTCCTTGAACTTGACTGGGAAATTTTAAACCACTTCCAATTCACAGTGGATTGAGATACTGGAATAGTCACTCCGCTGGGTTTTGGAGCTCTTTCATGCCCCCATTATATATACTGTATAAAAAGCAAGGAAGATATCTATTTACTTTATCATTGGCTACACCTACTAAGAGTAACAAGTTATGGTTATACGAGGAACTGAGGGCTTGTGGGTGTGGCTCAGAGACAGGGTGTTTGCCTAGCAGCACACGTGAGTGCAACCACAGTTTCTATAATGGATGAGTTTCTTGAGAAGCTAAAGCGTGCAAACTCTAGCTCATATCTGTTCCTGAAAGTTTGGTCCAGAACTACCGTCAGCAGCCTTCGCGCCTTGCCTTCCTCTTACATACCCTTTGTAGGGTTTCCTAGTCCCCAACCTGGACAACGGTCCCCGTGCCCAAAGGCGGGGTGAGAGGGAGGAGAGGCTCAGGGGAGGAGACAGGAAAACAGAAATAGCCAATTCGTCCTTAATGCGAGCCCCTCGCGGGCCTCACCCTAGCTGAGATTGGAGAGGAAGTGGGAAGGCGCCGATCTGTCCCTCACTCCCGCGCCCTCGTGCCCCCACCCTTCTCTGCTCGGAGCTTGGGTGCGCCGGGTCCCAGCTTCTCGTCTCCAGAGGGGAGCGCCCGGCGCCCACGGGCTGGAGGGGAAAGGCAAAAGATCTGCGGGCTGCTTGAGCCACCCAGATACATCCTCCGCGCCCTCAGCTCTCTGCGAGCCACACAGCCCGGGGCCAGGCCCCAGGGCAGCCCCGGAGACCGGGTGGCCGGAAGTAGGGGTGCGTCACTTCCGGGCGGTGCAGCGGCGGCGGCTTGGAAGATGGCTGCGCCCTGTGGCTCGGAGCTGCCCGCCAACTCGCCGCTAAAAATTCCGAAGATGGAGGTGCTCTCCCCGGCTTCTCCTGGCGACCTGAGCGACGGGAACCCATCGCTCTCCGACCCTTCCACGCCGCGGGGAGCCTCCCCTCTCGGGCCGGGCAGCTCGGCGGGCTCGGGGGCCGCGGCGTCCGGGGGTCTCGGGCTGGGGCTGGGGGGCCGCAGCGCTGCCTCGTCCTCGGTCTCCTTCTCGCCCGGCGGCGGCAGTGGCGGGGCTGCGGCGGCCGCTGCCGCCGCCTGCCGGGGCATGTCGTGGACGCCGGCAGAGACGAACGCGCTCATCGCTGTGTGGGGCAACGAGCGGCTGGTGGAGGCGCGGTACCAGCAGCTGGAGGGAGCCGGCACGGTATTCGGCAGCAAGGCCCCTGGGCCGGCCATGTACGAGCGCGTGTCCCGGGCCCTGGCCGAGCTGGGCTACGAGCGGACCCCGTCCCAGTGCCGGGAGCGCATCAAGGTAACCGGCCGCTCTGCCCGGGGCAGCGAACCAGAGGCAGAGAAGGCGGGGAAGCGGGCCTGGGGGCGGGGGCCGGGGCGAGCGCGGGGCTCCCCTCCCGGGCCCCGGGTACCCCCTTGTGTCTGCTCCGCCTCTTTCTTCTCTCCCTGGGAAGGGGCGCTTCTTTCCAGATGGCCGCCAGCCCGTAGGTTTCCTGAGTTTGAAGTTGGGCGTGTCTGCCGCCGCCCCTCTTTCTTGCCAATTGAGGATGTTCCTGCGCTCTGAAGTTGGTAGTTTCTCTTATTGTGAGCGGGGGGAGCCCGCACTGTCGCGGGTGCTTGTCGCCCGCACTGCTTTGTTCCCAGATGGAGGGGCTCCCAGGCTTTCCAGCTGGGATGGATTTGAGGAAGGGCAGCAGAGGGCCGGATGAGCGCCCAGTGTAAGATTTTTTTTCTTTCAGTGCTGCAGTTTTAAGAAAAAGAGCATTGGAACGGCTGGCCTTTTGTGTCAGTCGCATTGCTTGTCACTTGAGGTGGTGAAAGGACTAGCAAGATTTGAGGTGCTTTTGGAGAGTTGGAAAGGCTTAATGAAGGAAAGATCGTGTATTGTTATCGTGGAGGTAGAGGACAGTAGAGGACACCTTAAACGTTAGTCTGCTTGAGGATTCTTTTGGAATTTGGACTGGCGATCTTTTCAGAGTCAGGTTGCCTGGAGAGTCAGGAGGCTTCTAATTCGGAGGAAGCCCTTTCTTGACACCCAGGTTTTTTTTTTCCCGCTTTAGTTTGGGTGCCCGGATGCGGACAAGTAAAAAAGCCGAGTATGCATCTGGCCATCCTCACGCATCTGCGTGTTTAAATGCGGAGGCTTAATGTGGGTTAATTTTAACCATCAGCCTGCATATCGGTTTACTGTTCTAATGATTTGTCTAGGCGTTCGTATCTGCCTTTGCAGACAAGGAGCTGTAATTTAGTTAAGTTCTTCCCTCTTTCTAGTGTCTGCTCAAAGTTTCTCCCAGTTTTCATTGAAAACATTACATTGTGTTCATTTCTGACAGTGAAGGCTACTTTTTCTGGGTTGTGAAAAACAGCTAAGAGCAGTCATAACTGAGAAGATCACATTAGCAAACAACCATAAAACTCAGTAAGAACAGTTGTTTAAGTAAGGGTAATCACACAGAACTGGGGGAGATGTGCCCGAGTTCACTAGGCCTTGGCCCCAAAGATGTTCATTTGGAGACGTTGTTACTTAGAACATTTGGTCCAGAAACAGCTGTTTCATTATTACCAACTGTTGGATGAATTTGATACCTATTAGAAAGCTAAGTTAGATTATTTGCTTACGTACATTTGAGGATTCTTATTGAACTAAACAAGAATGTCACTGAATATGTATCAGTGAAAAACTGCTGCTGTTCTTTGGATTTCATTCATTGCTCTATTCAGGGTCGTTCATGTTAAATCTAGGGCAGTTCCTTTAAGCTGTCCTGGATAGCATCCACCCACAAACTTTTCTGGAGTTCTGAGAATGTCTTAGGCATTTGTAAATTATGCCTGTTTTCTTGATTTTTATTCGTAGGATTTTCAAAGTGTATATCAAAACCTTGCTGAATGTAAATCTCTCCATAAAATTGTTTCTCAAACAACCAGGGAATATCTAGTTGGAATGCTTCATTGTCCAGTTATGAGAAGGAAATCTAAAGCAAAGAAAGGAGATTGAGCCTCTGAAGAATTTAGAGGATCAGTTTACCTGTTTGCAGACAGGTAAGACCAAGTTGACCTCCAACTCTGTAGTCTTTTGAGGTAATGAGATGATGCTGGAGTCTCTGATGCTCCATACAGTTAACAGACAAGGAGGGCTGGCCAGTGTTTGCTTTTGTAATGTGCTTGGCTCAAAATGACTTGAATCAAGAAACTCAGACTCTTGTTAATGTTGATATTTCCTGCCAGAATTAAAGATTAAAGACAAGTTCTGGTCTGTCTTGTCCCTCCACAAACCAGCATTCAGTATGCACTGAATAAATACTTGATTCATCTAAGAAAGTTTAGAAAGAATTTTGGAAGGTATTCTTTTTATTTATTTATTTTTGTAACTTTCTGTTGCTGTGATAAAACACTGACCAAAACCAGTGTGGGGAGAAAAGGGTTTGTTTGGCAAACAGCTTATAGCCGATTATTTAGGGAAGCCAGATATCTTACTTTACTATTGCTGTGAAGAGACACCATGACCAAGGCAAAGTATTAAAGACAGCATTTAATTGCAGGCTGTTTATAGTTTTAGAGGGTGAGTCTTGGTTCAAGACGATCATGATGGTCCAAGCCTTGAGGCAGGCATGGTGCTGGGTCAGTAGAAACGAGCTTACACCTGATTTTCAAGCAGGATACAGAGAGGAAGAGATTGAGCTTCTGAAACCTCAACGCTTACCCCCAGGGACACATCTCATGCCTCAAAGCCATACTTCCTAATCCTTCCCAAAACAGTTCCACCAACTAGAGACCAAACATTTAAATATATGAGTCCGAGGAGGTCATTTTAATTCAAACAACCTCACCAGAGCAGGAGTGCAAGGAAGGAATCTGTAGGTAGGAACTGAAGCAGAGACCACGGAGGAACACCACATACTGGCTTGCTTCCCTCAACTTGCTCTGCTACCTTTCTTTCATAGTCCAGGTTTACCTTCCCTGGGATGGCACCACCTACAGTAGGCTGGGCCCACCTATATCAATTAGCAACTAAGAGAATGCCTTACAGACCTGGCTGTAAGTAGTCTGTGACGTTTCCTCAACTGAGTTTCCCTCTTCTCAGGTATATCTAGGTTTGTTTCAAGTTGATTCAAACTGTGACTGAATGTATGAAAGTTGATAGTAGTGTTATTAAAAATTACAAATGTGGACTTTGGAACCCAATTTTAAAAATATTGCATTAAAGCTAAGCAAGCTTCAAAAGGCTGAGGAGTTAGCTCTGAGGTAGAGTGCTTGCCTAGTTTCTATAAGGCTGTGGAGTCAGTCCCCAGCACTGGGGACAAATACAAAAACCATGTTAATGACATTTCCCCCAGCTCTGTCCTTTTAGACAACTGTAAATGTGATTTTCAGCACAGAAGCAAATGTAGTCACTGAAAACAGACTAATGAGGTAGCAGCTGCCCAGGGAGCAAAGATTATTCTCAGGAAAAGTATAGCCTTAAGGTCTTACAACCTCTGACCTCAAAACAAATTCTTAGGTCCCAGGTTCTAGAAGTGGCAGCTGAGAACAGTTATGTGGAATCGTTGTTGTGTCACTATTTATGAGAAATGCAAAAAAGAAATGTAGGGGCTGGAGAGCCAGCTCAGAGGGCAGTTTACAGCCACCTCTAGGTACCATAGAAACATGGAAGGCTGGTATACACCATACCATATACACACCATAGGCATCCACTCATGCACATAAAGAAGGCAAATCTGAAAAAAAGATCCAGTCAGTAATACCCTTGTCTTTAGTTGTACAAAATAAATGAAGACCAGAAGGTTGTTTTTGTTTTTTAAAGATTTATCTATCTTTTTGAGGGGTGGAAGTGGGAAGTTTTGAGACAGGGTTTCTCTATGTAGTCCTGGCTCTCCTGGAACTTGCTCTGTAGACCAGGCTAGCCTTGAACTCAGAGATCTACCTGCTTCTGCTTCCAGAATGATGGGATTAAAGGATGGGATTAAAGCCACTACTGCCTGGCTATTTTAGTTGTTTATTTTATCTTAAGTGAGTGTTTTGCCTACAAGTGAGTGTCTGGTGCTTGCAGAGGTCAGATGAAAGCATTTGATCCCCTGGACCTGGAATTATGAATGATTGTGAGCTATCAAGTGGATGGGTGCTGACAACTGAACCCTGGGTCCTCAGCAAGAGCAGCAAATGCTTATTACTAAGGAGCCATCTCTCCAGCCCCCAAACCAGGAGGTTCTTGTGTAGAGTAATACAGCTTACTTAAATGTACGCTTAGGGGTAGGATGTCAGTGTTAGCATGTGGTTAGTATGTGGAATTGCCCTGGGTTCAGTTCTCAGCATTGCAGAGCAAACAACACCTTAACAGGATGTAGGCAATACTGCATAAACTGCCCAAACCATTGCTTCCTTGCAGTGTTCTCTAAACTATTCTTACAAATACCAGTTAACAAAAGCCTTAGTAACAGAGGCTCAGAGAGAAAGCATACCATATGAGTGAGCTGTATTTCCTTTGTAGTATATTTGAAGTTCCTATAGACATTTGGTTATGTAAAGGCAGTAAAAGATCCAAAGGGAAAATGACTCAGTGGTTACACACAGTGCTGTCACAGCATCCACATGTAGGCTCACAAACATCTCACTCCAGGGGCACCAGCTACAGTGATAACTCGGGATTACATACATGCAGGCAAAATACATGAACGTATTAGACATAGATAGAGATACACGCCAGCAAATTTTTTTCTTTTCCCTTTTTCATTTTTTTTTGAGATGGGATTTCATGTAGCGTAGGCCAACTTTGAATTCGATAATGAAGTTGAGGCTGGGGCTGGAGAGATGGCTCAGCGGTTAAGAGCACTGACTGCTCTTCCAGAGGTCCTGAGTTCAAATCCCAGCAACCACATGGTGGCTCACAACCATCCGTAACGAGATTGGATGCCCTATTCTGGTGTGTCCGAAGACAGCGACAGTGTACTCTAAAATAAATAAATAAATCTTTAAAAAAAAAAAAAAATGAAGTTGAGGCTGGTCGTAAACTTCTGGTCCTCTTGCGTCTACCTTGTGAATATTATAGGAAGGTGCCACCATGCCCAGCTCTAATAAATAATTTCATCTTCATTTGAAGAGCTGAGTAGTGGTCAGTTCTTCCACTTAGATGATTTCTAACGTGGAGTGGCCTTCCTCCTAGGAAAGGCCCTGGGAAGCTGACTCCTAGCCTAGCTCTCACCCAACTTCCTGTCTTAAAGTAATTACTTTCCTGGACTGGACTTGTTACTATACAGCAAAAATGTTAAGATTAAAAATATTAAAAATGCTTGGATTTTGTTACTGAAGTTCAACTTTTTAGTATTGTTCCTAACTATATTTGTAAGCTACAGTATTTTAATTGAAAATCAGATACAAACATTGTTTAGAGTTTCATTTGATGTCTGCCGTGATGTTGGCATTTGTTCTGGCTTTTGGATAAATAGATGTGTTTAGAACTGCTTTACTACACAGATTGTTTATTCTGAAATTTTCTTGTGTTTTTGTTTGCCAGAAGAAAATGTGTCTGCCAACAATTCCAGCCCAATTTTGAAGTCAGATAAACAAAGATAGAGGGTTTTTTTCCTTTTTTCTTTTTTGTGTTGTTTTGTGTACATTGTATGATTTTTTTCTTATAAAACTTTTCTTTATATGTTCACCCACCAAATGAACCTTGAGTGCTTGTTATTTGTGGGGCTATTTACTAGACAGACGGCATTAGGACACAAACCCCCTGTTAAATGTGGCTCCTGCAGTCTGAGTGCTTTTACTCCAGCTGCAGCTTGTGTACACACACGCAGGAGTTGCATGAGACACTCGAGTGATGGTATGCAGTGTAGTACTTGACTAAGTGGCATAGGACTAAAGCAGATTGCAAGTGTGATCACTTCAAAAGGGAGCCATCTTCCCCATCATCTCGAGGAGTTGAAAGATCTGTCTTGACTTAGGATTCATGAAAGCATTCACTTCTGAGCCAGATGCCACATTCACGCTTAGGTCAGTTAATCTGATGCACTGCAAACCTCATTCTCAAGTCACATATTTTTGGGTGTTTGCCAAAAATTTGCCTCTTGAGGGTTGGCTTTATGTCTCTAAACAGATGCATATGTCTAGCTTTGCCAGAAGTTGAAAGGCAAGGTATTGTGTGTGACCTAACAAACTTGCCTTTGCTGTGTCTGTTCCATGCCGGTTAACCATCAAAGTCTTCTGTCTAGCAAACAAAACAGTTAATTTTCTTGAGACATTGCTTACATTTGTTCATCAGTTGTCATTATGTTGAAATACATTTTATCATTTAGCACCCAAATTACAGTACAATGTATTTGGACTTTTGTTTTAGTTATGCTTTCTGTTTGTGAGACCAATAGGTCTGAGATAACTTGGAGCCAAAAGATGCCTTTCTCCTTGTACAAGCCTTTTAATGGAGTGCCCGTCCCTGAGGACTTTCCTTTGGTGTTTGTAGACAAGACTTTTCTTCTTTGTGTTGAAAGATCTCCAAGAAGTGCTGTAAGCCACACAAGCAGACCAGCGAGGTCTCTCTCTTGTTGTTTGTTACACACTCTGATTCTCTTGCCTCTGTCTTACTATCACTTGAAAGTCGACGTGTTTGAGGGTGCGAGTGTGGCTCAGTGGTGGAGCATTTATTGCCTAGCACTATAAGGCCTTGGGTTCTATCCACAGCACTGTTAGAAACAAAAAACAACCAATAAATTCTGTTGCTTTGAGTAGAGTCTGGTGGCCAAAGCCTGTAATCCCAACGTTAGGGAGATTGAGCAAAAGGTGAAGGCCAGCCTAGCTCTAGGGAGGTCAGGGTTGTCCTGGTTATCAGAGAGAGCGCTGTCTCGTGGGTCTGACGATTGGGCTTTCAGCTTTAAAGATACAACAGGCTCTCACTAGAACTGAATGAATGGGATCCTCAGTTATTTCTTGCCCCGTTATTATTATTACTACTATTATTGTTATTGTTATTATTATTATTGTTGTTATTATTTTAATGAAGAATATATCTGGGCCTGATGGCCAATTTGTAACTCTAGCACTCAGGA